GCATACCCGTGATGCCAGCGTCGAAATTCAGCACCTCGCGCTGCATTTTCGAAAGTTGCTGGATAAAGTAATCAGGGAGTACGGCGTTCCACCCGCCTTTGCGCTTGCCTTTGACAAAGTAACAGCTGCTGTCCTCGCTGTCGGGAAATGAAATGAAGTTTGCAGCAACTTTGCCGTTTGCGCCAGTAAAGTGGTCCTGGATATTCTGGTTGATATCTGCGTTGAAATGGACTAGGATACGATGTTTATCTAATTAGTAGGGGTGATTGATTCGCTCGGGCCACCTACACTTATCGGTGGCAATATTGTAGTCGATCCATGTATCGGCGGTCTTGCTCACACTGTGGCGAGACCATCAGATGGGGTTCAGCTAGGATATGAGTATGGAGGCGGACCTTATCCACCGGCTGAAACTAATGTTTAACGCTGTCTTTGCATGATTTGTAAATGAAGGTGACATGTTCTCCACAAAATGGAGTCGCCCATGTCCCACATAGTATGAATCGGGAGAAGGACCAAATATGACAATGGTGTTCGGGTTGCTCATCGTTTGGGGGAGATTCTAATGCCTGGGTCTGTTTATAAGAGAGAACGCGGCAGTGTAATAATGACTGACTTGTGACAGCGACACGCATTTCAAATCTGTATGACAAAAACGCAAGAGCTCGTTGAACGGATAGCACGGAATTGACACGGAATCTTACCACTGCAAAATTTTGCAAGTCGTGCGTTGTTCGCCGGTACCACCAGTCGGCCCTCATTCGTCAGCAAAAATGCACACAGGCCCAGAGGCCTTAGGAGGGTAAGCGCCGATCCGGGGACAGTGAGAGGAAGGAGAATGCACTCACATTAGGAGGGCATAGGACGGAACATGTCACTTCGGAGGGACTAGAGGGTGTGTTGTCCCGAAGGCATTAGGATGCCATCAGAGGCACTCTGAACCTTGTATGTATAAGTCTATGAGAAATGTTTAAACAAGTATCGGATGATTCAATAAGATGCTAAAAGGTCAGAAAAAAACTAATATTCCACGAATCCCAATTTTCATAATCCTCCTTGGCATTTCCTCCATCTACCCCATCCTCAGGCCCAAGCTCATCCTCTTGCTCTCGATAAGATGTGCCCACACGCAATAGCGAATACAAAATGAGCTGAAGATAATAACAGCTGGTCCACTAGAAGATGCAGCCAGCCCTTCGACGAGAATAGCGCGAGGAAGGTACAGTACGTGCTACACCGGATGTTCTGGAACCGGCGTTCAGCACTTGGATCATGCTATGCAATCAACCTTCTTTCCTTCCTTCCGAAAGGAAAGCGAACTACGACGTCTTCTTCGTTCGGTGTAGAAGCTGAACCTGGACTCTCTTATCATGGTACCGAAACTCTGTAGGAAACCAACTCTAATTGTGGTGATAGTTCCTGTTGAGGTCCGACTCACGGTGGTAAGAACGAAAGCAGAATGAGCAGTAGAAACGAAAAGCACAGATTAAATAAATTCCTCCAGTCCCATTTCGAAAGTCCATATAATACAAAACACGGTTCACAGTACAGTTTATGATGATAGTACAAACATTATAGCCACAGTCATTACACCGAATGCATCATACCCAACACTGCAAGATCCTTCGCCGAAATCAGCATGGGCTAGCAAACTCAACAACCATAATAAAACCCACGTACATTCCCACTAGCAACACCAGCAGCAGCCGCATACTGAGAGCACGATGATAAAAAGGATAATATGCTCTGTTTGCAACTTGTCCGACTTCTGCCCCTCGTCGCTGATCTGGACGCTACGTGCGGTAGCGGTAGAGATACATAGACAGTTAGGTCAGAGGCTGAGGAGGACAGAAGGGTTTGGGAGGAGGTTTCGAGGGTGCTCAGGCCTGCTCTTGGATTGAAGCGCCTGGCTAAACGTGTCCACTTGGTCTGCATGTTTGGATATTGGCTAGTACGACGAGGTTGCAGCGGGGTTGCAGCAGCAGCATCGGCCTTTTATTTAACGAGAATCGGAATCGCCACTGGACTAGTACTCCGACTCGGACTGAAGGGAATTACGTCTTCAAACGGACGGTTCTGTGTAGAATCCTCCTGAGACACATGGTACCGAAAATCTTCGAAGCAAAAGTTTGTGGGCTCTCGGGCTTGAAAGGCTAAAGCGGAATAAGCGCCCGAACAGGAACACTCGGAAACGAAGAGCGATTTTGCGACTACTTGGACTCGAATGAGGACCATAGTTATAACAGCTGGCATAGATAATATGTAGTATCATATACATTCCGTTATTCTTCGCATATCGTATTAAGCATTACGCAGGACCATTTCCGTTCCCTACCGCATCTCCTTCATGGTACCCTTCACTTAAATTCAGCGCCGCAATACGTGCCTCTTCTTCCGCCATATCCTCATCCTCTTTCTGCTTACGGAACTGCTCAAGATCCCAGTCGTCATCATCGTCACCGTCTTCGTCTTCGAACCATTCTGGGTTGTATTGGAACTGTGGAAATGGTCGGTGAGCCAAAAGCAAATCGATAGAGGAGCAGATCCAGGGAACTCACCAGGTCTCTTCCACTCATACCAGTGTTCTTGCCCGCCGCATGCTGAGTCTCTTTAGCTTTCCGCAGAGCTTCATCCTCCGCCGTCTTCTTGTCCATTCGGGTCTTCTTCCACTTGGCGAATGTCTCTGGCGTACATGGTGTAAGGTTGGATCCGAGTTTGTGGCGCTGGGGAATAAGCGAGTAAGCCAGACGTGGATGGAGAACGACGATCCCAGCTATACTGACCTCGGTCTCCAGAAACTCTTCCAGACTAATTGTATTCACTTTGTTTGCTTCCTCGATGGCTTTCCTTTGTGATTTGAGAACAAATCCTGGAGGTAGAGCATGCCTATATTGGCAGTTCTCTCCGTTCGGGCATTCCCAGAACCAACCGAATCTGGCGTACGATGAGTTGAGGAAAGGTGATGCGGACAGACGGCTAGACGTACTTTTGGGTTTCTATAGCCTCGATGAAAAATTTGCACACGATCTGGAATAGTTGAGCGATGGACATCATGGAATATCGAGCGACTCACGTCTGTCGTTGTTCGCGGGTTACCAGCCTTTGATAAAACCACGTTTCGCAGCTTCTCGTCGTCCCAAGTATCCATAGTATCTGTGCATTTCGATCGTCAGGAAATCTCCCAGTAATTCCAGTAGAATAGAACATACCAGCCTCCTTCTCCGCCCGTCCATCGTCATATAAATTCTTCTTCTCCACCTTGCGCCCCACATTTAAATCATGACTCAACTTGCACTTGTTCCCTTTTTCGCAAAGCCCAGCTTTAAAGAACGCGCAGAGCACTGTCTTTGGATCTACGCCGAATGGGACCTTTTGTTGAGTGATGACCGGTTTGAGAAGAGCAGCTTCCTCTTTCCGACGCTTCTCATCGTCCTCTTTGGCCTTTTGGCGTAGCTTTTGCTCTTTTTCCTTGTCGAGTTCTGCACGAGACTTGCCTGCCAGCGCTGATGCTTGTTGAATCCGTTGGACTTCTTTTTGGACTTTGGCTGATTTATTTTTCTACGCGGAATATGAGATTCGGGTTTTACTATGTAGCAGCAACATCGTATACGAACATTTTTCATACCAAATGTCTATATGCTGGATCAGTCAGTGCGACTTTTAAAACGAGGGTTTCCGAGGAAATACCTTGTCGTCTTTGACTTTGGAGCCGCTGGCCTGCTGTTGTTTTTTGGGAGGCATGTTGAAGATGAAGATTACAGTGAGAAAGCAGAAAAAGTTTGCGTCGAGCTCGTCGTTGATGGTGGTGCAGAGAACGCCTGTGGCTTTGTAATCCTGTCAATGATCTCATCTTTCCTTCTCTTTCCCAACACCCGATGATACAAAGACATCCGATTTATTGGTTCGACGATGCAGATACTATCCTATTCCAAGAATCTACGCTTTACAAGATCCATTCTTCACGCCTTTCAGCTCCCAAATTCTTATCGCAATTCTCTCAGACTCCGATCCCGGATGATGTACTAAACATTCTCCTGGCCGACCACAACAATAAAAGTAATTTTCATGGCTGCAGCTATGTTCGTCTGGATTCTATCTATACTAGCGATCTAGTTGATTTGCTTGATCATTTCTATGGACCGAGTCAGAAGTAGGTATACTACGAGTCGATTTCAGGATCGACATTTATCTGATTCTCAGTCTACTTTCTAATCCAGGATCTGCTCGTGTGTCCTCGATCCTGCGCATAACCAGTCCCAATCAACTTGACATACCAGCGTTGCATGAGGAAGCGAAGAAATGCTTTGACAATCTCTTCCCAAAGGACGCACAAGAGCTCGCGAGATTTCAATGCGAACATGCTGAAGAAGCGATGGCATTGGCTCTTCAGAATGATATCCATCGGGTAAGTGGAACTGTACATACAGCTCAAGTTTCGCTGATTTTGCTCCAGTGCCAAAAACCTCTCCTCTACTACCTCGCCTCCCAAACCGATCTAGACGCGTCTCCCTCCTCCCGCATACCTCCATCCCTAGCTTCCAGCATAACCAAACGCACCCACGAACTATCATCCAAACTCATCGACCGATTTACACCACTCTTGTTCACGCCTCCGCCAACATCCCATATGAATTGCACCGATGCGCTAGCGGAGCACTGGATGTCGATGGTTATCTCTCCAGCCATTGATAATAGTGCGATGGGCAAGCCCCTCCAGACACTGGAATCGATGAAAGGTGTGGATTGGGTGGGACTTGGGCTTTGTGAAGCGTGTGCGAAGGATAAGGTAGATGAATGGACAGAGGAGCAAACGGCGGTGTGGGAACTTATGGATGAGTGGATTTTTGATACGAAATAAGATGCTATGACGGTGCTGTAGCTCTTGTTTGCGCCAGACTGTTACTGCTTAAGCTACTCTCGAATCTTGTATCTCGAGTCCTATTGCCAATGGCCTTTTTCTCAATGCGACAGATTGCAGAATAAACTGACCTGCCTTGCATGGCCGACTAGCTCAGCTGGTTAGAGCGTCGTGCTAATATTTGAATTCGTATCATATTAACGCGAAGGTCTTGGGTTCGATCCCCACGTTGGCCATAATGTATCAAAGTCCTAGGTTATGTTTTTGTTTTTCATTCGGAATATATATGAACACCGTGCGGGAAGTTTTTTCTTTCTTTCTTTTTAGCTCAATCTCAATTGGCAGCTAGTGAGAGGACTCCAACAACTGGAGTCATCAGTCTGTCTGGTACTAGCAACTTGAACATGATCCATATATACTTTCACAATGCGCTGAAATGTCTATTCTCTCACGCTTGTGAGAAGAAAGGGTGGAATATTGACTAGAATTTCATAGAGAACTTGAAGTGCCAGAAGTATGTATCTTCGAGCTGTTTGAACTCCTACCTTGCCTAGGTGGATACCTCCAAATGTACCTCTCACTTGCAAAGGTGTGGTTAGAGCGTCGTGCTAATATTCCAATGAGATCGCTAGGTGTCTTACATTATTCACGCGAAGGTCTTGGGTTCGATCCCCACGTTGGCCATTGGTTTGTAAGTCTATTTGTGTTTTTAAAGGAAATGTGAATGCCGTTCAGGGCATTTTTTTTTTGAATGCATTAGTTCAACCTTGGTTGACAGTGACGGATAGGACTACCACTGACACCTGGTGTCCATAACTTACATTGTTGCAAGTACTGTAGCGAAAAATATCTAGAGCATACATGCCTTCACATTCGAGGTTCTTCATGTCTCTTCGTGTTCCAGACGCCGCGCCGCGCGTACCAATGAATACGAACTACGAATCTCGCCAGTTCAAAACACCAGCAGTGCACCTGAGTCTTGATCCTCAATAAAGTGACTCAAATCGCAAATCTCACGCGAAACAGGCCTAGAAAACCCCGAGTACACTCAAGTCTAGTCTATAAATGCCACAAGCTTCGGATGGAGAAGACACCGAAGGAGAAAGGATGACTATGCGCTACAGTATCTGACCCATGAACACAGGAAGCATCCCATCCGTTCCGGATACATTCCCGGCGGAGCTGTACAATGAAAAATTATGTGACAAAGTGAGCAAGAAGGTACTTGGGGTGAAAGCAGAGGCGCATCGTTCAGCTAGCGGAGAGGAAGGTATTCGGTTTGTAGGCAAAGCGAATTTCGCGGAGAAGTGCCAGACAAGTACCAGAAGCAGCCGCAGAATAATCTATCTTCGAGTTGTTTTAGCATTAAAAAGTGCCATTTATTGATCTATAACGACATCACCTATGAGCTGCTTGAAGAATTCAAAGTCTTCAGGTACTGGCGATAGCGAAGAGGAAGAGATGTGGCGCTCGGTGCTCAACTTGCTTGTAAGTTGGGTATGCACTAACGAACAAACCAAGCTGTTTCTCATTAAAATCCAGCCTTGTATGAGCTCTATGTGTATACGAATAATCCGCTTAGAGGCAGCGGCTCCGTCCTCTTCCTCGATTCAGAATCCTCCCGACAGGAATGTATTTTAAAAGTACAGACTGTACTGCATGGGGTAAGTATGCCGCTCGCAGCCGAAAAAAATGACTACTCACTTATAAAGGCACGGATAGAGATCATTTACATAAACCATCGATATCCACCATGTTCGAAACAGAGCGTCTACATCTCCGAGCCGTACGCGAGGCAGACTTTGAAAATTTAGTCGCGATACGGAACCACCCCGGCGTCCAACAGATGTTGACTCCTGATTTTGTGGTTCCTCGAGGCGTCAACTTTGCGGAAAAACTTCGCGAATGGTATTCATCTGCACTATTCGATGCCATTATAGAGACCAAGGACAGCCATGAGTTTGTCGGTTTTGTCGCGCTGCTTAATGCGCAGACGAAGAATCGTGATGCAATGCTTGCTCTAGCTCTGCTTCCCGAGTTCTGGGGACGAGGATTTGCGACCGAGGTTTCACGATTTATCGTCGATTATGCGTTCCACCAGCTTGCTATGCATAGAATAACACTCACCGTACATGGAAATAACACTGCAGCCATCAGGGTGTACAACAAGGTGTGAGTGGTTTGCATTTTGGAGTGAAGAGATTGTCCGATTGAGATATTTTAGTGGCTTCGTTCAAGAGGGCGTTCAGCGAAAGGCGAATTGGATGGATGGAAAATGGCAGGACGTCGTCTGGATGGCAGTTTTGGATGAGGACTGGGAAGCTTCGAGGCAGGATAGGGCTGATATAAAGATTGTATGATAAAACCGTAGTGCTGTGAACATCATGGTCCATTGAACTCAAAAACCCAAAAACAACTTGATCACCCGGTCTGATGACGTCCTTTAGAATCTATCCAGTGTGGTAGAGTGAGACCCATTGAGCCCTGATGCACTAGGACTAGCGTTACGAGCAACGTCGTTGAGGTCAGCAGTAGTAGTGGAGCCTCTTCCATCAGAATCAACGATATACGCCATAAATGTTCTTCTACTCTTTGATGGGAACCAGACTAGCCAGGCAATGCAATAGCCCGGGATAGCTCCAGATAGCGCCCAACAAACATATCCAATGCAGCTGGATACATCTTTCTGAAACTGGACATTCCAGCTGAGGTTTGCAAATCAAAGTCCGCTGAGTAACGCCGGGGACTGTCATAAAACATCGCTCAACTAGTAGGTAGCCCTGGCTGATCATAGTGAGAATATTCGATAGATAAATGGCTCTCTCACGTCGTACTTAGAATGGTTGACAAATGCTTCTAAGAGTTCTGCGTGTAGCTGCCGTGAACACCAGTACTAGTCGACTAGGAAATTGTTCGGAGTCGAGATATGGCGCGCGATTCTCCCCTTCCTAGGTGTGGTAGCGGTTAGCACCGCTCAACTGGCGCTTTTATTTTTTTTTCTTCACACAGCCACAGAGCGTCTTTCGGGTACCGACTGTACAGCTTGAACTTTCTTAATACCTCAATTATCGAGAAGTTGACCACAAAGTCCCGAAGTCCAAATCATCAATCTCCTGCTCTTCCTTGCACGAAATATATACCACCCTGCTAGTATTGGCCAGCTGATTCTGTGCAATGCTCGTGACCATGTCTACAGTTCCGTCATCGCCGGCCCCTTTCTCTCGCTTGCGAGGCACTATGTTATTGCGAGTAGCGGCGAGCTATCCCAACTAGAATAATTACCTGCCCATGATATATTGGAGGATGTGGTAAGGGCTCAAATCAGAAGTCTGATCCTACCTCTTTCGTATAAACATGGAGACTGCACAATAATTTATCTCTCTCAAATCCATACGATTGTTCCACTATGCTGACGAAAGTGCTTGTCGCTGTGTGCATTTTGTTTATTGGACGTTTGTTAATGCGGCGAAGACAACCTCCATTGCCTCCTGGGCCCAGAGGTTGGCCGTTGATTGGGAATATAACGGATTTCCCAACGTCTTGCGAATGGGAGGTGTTTACCAAGTGGGGAGAAAAATGGGGTGAGTAGATACTTCGTTACCTTGGAAATTTTACGGTTAACCTTTGGCTCTCAGGTGATCTTCTTTCAGTGTCTGTTTTCGGTACGCTGTTGAATGGTGAATCTAAATTGGAGTAGCTCTCCATTTCTTCTCTAGGTACGACCTTTGTTGTAATCAACTCCTACGAGCGTTGTCAAGAAATGCTTGAGAAAAAGAGCAATGTCTACTCCGATAGGCCCTATATTCCAATGGCAACAGAGCTCAGCGAGATGAGGGTATGTAGGCTGTTATCTCTGAAGTGTCTTATTCATGGTGAAATTATGTCAGGACCTTATGGGGCTTCTTCCATACGACAATCGTCTCAAGTCCTATCGCCGTCTATTTCACCAAGAGCTGGGTAGCAGTTCCGGGGTCCGAGAATTCTTCCCGCAGGAAGAGCGTCTAGGCAGACAATTTCTCAGACGCGTGTTGAATAATCCGGATAGGCCTCCTTGACCATTGCTTCCAGTACGCCTAATGTCACTACTTATAACGCACTAACATTAATGATCCACTCAGACACTCTGGTGCTACCATTCTTCGCATTGCCTACGGCTATGAAGTGGAAGAATCTAATGATCCTTTTGTTAATATCGCCAATACTGCGATGGATCATTTCAATCGTGCAACTACTCCGGGATCATTCCTTGTCAATCGGTTACCTATCCTTCTCAAAATTCCAGATTGGTTCCCTGGCACTGGATGGAAGCGTATTGGACGAGAATGGGCAAAGGATTACTGGACAATGATGGACGAACCGTTTAACTTTGTGAAGAAACAATTGGTAGCTTGGAATTTCAACGATCCAGGATTGAATGTTCATACGGAATTAGTCGGAAGGAACTGCAGATGATTCGTTCACCGCAAAGTGGTTGAAGAAGAAAATTTCACCACAGGAAGAGCTCGACCTCAAATTTTCCTCAGGTTCAATGTTCGCTGGTATGCTGGCTTGGATTACGCTTTGGTCACTGTTATTGACTCTCTTCTTCATATCCTAGGTGGATCTGAAACCGTTCGTCTCCTCTGCTGAGCATTGGATATCACTGACTCTGAACTGTTTACCTTAGACCGCAGTCACTTTTTGTGTGTTCTTTCTCGTCATGGCTATGTTCCCTGAAGTTCAGAACAGAGCCCAGGCAGAGCTGAACTCAGTTGTTGGACAGGACCGCCTCCCCTCGTTCGAAGATAGAGACCGGCTACCTTATGTAGAGGCGGTATGCAAAGAGGTGATGAGATATCATGCTGTAGCTCCCAACGGTAATAAGCTTTCGTGATAACTGTAGAGTTGTCACTGGTTGAAAGATGTCTACTTTAGGTGTTCCCCACTGCACGGTGCGCGAAGATGTACACGATGGAATGTTCATTCCCAAGGGCGCTATCATTTTTTCTAACATTTGGTGAGCAAGACCTTGACCTCATCCACTCATCGCAACATCGAGCCTCAAGGCTTATTGATAGGAGCATGACACATGATCCAAAAGTGTATAAAAAACCAATGGAATTTAATCCTGGCAGGTTTCTTGGAGATGCTCCTGAGCAAGATCCAAAGGAAATAGTTTTTGGTTTCGGAAGAAGGTTTGTTCAAATCCTTCTTGTTCGTCCTCCGCCTCAGAAACATTTGTTCTCTTTGGCATTTC